CAGAGAAGCCGAGTGCCCCGACATCAGCCCCATGGATAAAGGAGTCTGTGTCTTAGTCTTAGGAGAGAAACCTGGAATACTTATCTTAAAAGTACTAAAAATGTAGTATTGTGTGTTTTCCCATTTTTATTTGACAAATTCTAACCTTTTTTTTTGTAAAATAATTCACATTGGTTATGAAATTTCAAAAATAGAGTTACACAGTAAAATTTATGCTTTTAATTCTTGGATTCAATTTGTACTCCTGACACAGCCATTATAAAGTTTGATATACTGTCTCCTGCATGGTGTAATACCTTGTCTTTGTTTCTTTCACATCTTTTAAAAGATTTATTTATGCATACAGAACTGGGGTGCAGGCAGAGGTAGAGGTGGCAAGAGGATTCATCAGAGAAAGAGTGGGGAGCAGAGCAGGCAAATGAAATACACTGCTGAGGGGAGCAGTGAGAGGGTGGGAAGCGGTCTTCTGCACCACATGGATCACCTCCGGGGCTGGGATCGAACTCATGCTGAAGTGGCTGCAGCTGGCTTGCAGTGCTGTGCTTTAACTGGTTGCCCACCAGGAAGGGCCCTGTTTCTTTTACATTTTGGCCCAAATCACCACAATACACATTAGCTTGCATAATCCATCATGCCCTGTACATCTTCCAATGCAATGCTGATATTTACTTCATTTAGCAAGCCATTTCCCGAGTTCCTTTTATAACAAAAACAGACATTTAGTGAGAAAACTGTTCTTAGAGCTGAAAGTTATTCTATCATGAGTCAAGGGAGAAAAGGGAACCTCCAAATGATAGCCATTTGGTCAGCTAGATAGGTGCCAACTTGAGTCTTGCTGTGGATATACAAAGGGCAGGAACACAGGGAGCAACCTCTAGGACTGTGCCCTTAATTTGTGGGATCTGTATAGATAGTATCAGAATTGACCCTGATTGTTGAAAACCCAGATAGTGTCAGAATTGGTGGAAGGAGAAGGGACAATGGGGGGAATTATACTTGTTTTCAGAAATGAAGGGTGAGTTTAGAGTCCTAGTAAAGAGAAAGCACAGGAGACATTTCCTTATAAATATTTAAGTTGAAAATATCCAGCAATTCTGCTGCTAGATGTGACTCTTAGCGAAACTCTTTCAAGTGCTTGGGAGAACTCTCAAATTCAAGTAAGAAAGACCATTAAAAGGAAGCCAGCACAATGACAGACTGGAGTACATCTTGGTATCATGAAAGACTGATACACACTATAGGCATATAAAAGCAAGTGACCTATTACAGAGTACCCTTTAATTTAGTGTGTTCAGATTCTTTGTGTTCCTTTTAAGTTTTCCATTTTTTCATCTATTACAGTGATGTCTTACAATCTGTTCCATGTGGTGATTTGAATTTCTTATTAGAGAACTTCATGATTAGAGAAAATCCCAGGGGAGATCATGACATCCTTTTCACATTTTGCTGGGTTAGAGCTGCTAGTGTTTTAAGATTTTGGAAATTATGTTCGTAAGTTTGGCATCATTTATTCATTAAAAGTTTAGTTGAATTTGAAGTAAAATAAATTCTTCCCAATGGTTCAGATGTCTTCTGGGAAGTTCGGTAACTGCGGGCTCTAAGTATAGGCAACCATTTGGGGGTGATTTGGAGGGTACTTAATTGTTCCAATAGGTCTGTTTCACGTAAATTTCCAAATTTACTTCAATGAAATCATTTCCAACATCCCCTTAACTTTTTTCACTCCTACAGCACATACAGAATCATAGTATTTTTTATTTTATACTTTTACTTCCTATTTTTTCTTTATTTGCCCGAGATTCCTTTTTCCCCCCCGAAAGAACTATTTGCGTGACAGCCAGGTAGCACAGAGGTTTCAAAGCTCCTTGAGGGCGGGACTTCCTCAGACAGTGGGAGGTGCCGAGAGTCGGGGTCCCGCTGGCTAGGGGTCCCAGCCAGTTCTGAGGAGGTGCAGGGACCCGGCCGCGGCCAGCGAGTTGTCAGGTCCCCCATCCACTGAAGGCCTGTAGGAAAGGGCATCCACACGCCCGCGGGATGCTCTGCTGCTGCATCAGCTGTTCCCGCAGCTCTGGGACTCAGCGGGTGAGTAACCGGCGAGAGGGCGGAAACAGCAGGACAGTGCCCGGCGGCTCAGAATCCTGGCTGATCCGGGTACTTCCTCAAAGACTGCCGCACCCGCCGGAAGTTCCGGGGACCCCAACAAGCGGATTCCGGTTCCGTTGCTCTCAGACCTCCGGCGCCCGAGACCGTGGACCAGAAGAGTCAAGGACGAGGCTGAGGGTTTCTTTCACAGGCCAGTTCCGGTCCCCGTCGCATGGGTTCCTGGGTACCGAGACACCGCAGGTCAAGCTGGGACCAGAGCCTTAGGAACAAGAAGTGGGGACTCTGCTTCTGCAGTCAAAATCAGGATATAGCCCGTAGAGGGGGATTTGGGATTTAGTGGATGGCATCACTGGTCGGAATCTAAGCTCCGGAGAGAACGGTTGGGTGTTGGTTCTGGCAGGAATGTTGGAATTCATCCTCTGGCAGGGGACCCAAGGAATGGTCTGCAGTTTAAGTCTGCGGGCCAAACCATGCTCTTTTAACGCTCTCCAGAGTCTATCAAAACATCGCGGTGCCGTCCCATCGCTCCCCAACCAGCCTCAGCTGACAACCGAGGTCGATAGGATAGGGGCAGCCAGGTGGCCAATTGAACAAAAGGGATTGTCACATTTTCTGCCTTACAGGTTTTCACGGCTGACATATTTACCAAAAGAATTTACAGTGGCAAAACATAAGTTGCCATCATTCTAGGATTCAGTAGTTTTTCCAGCACCCACGGGGCTTCGCTTGACAAATCCACATACATATTTTTTGTCCAGTTAATGTCATCAATTCAAAAGGCGCAATTTGATTACTATATCAGAGTTCCTGAGCAGTCAGGAGTGAGCATGAGGATGTGCTTATGTGACAGTGAAGGCCGACTGGGCAAGTCTGAAATTCATAGTACAGGTGGATTCTTCACTGGCAGAATTTCCTCTTCTCAGGGAAGCTTCCTCTGTCCTTTTGGCCTTTCAGTTCGTTCAACCCCACCCAGATTACCTAGGATAATTCCCATAGTTAAACACAAGTGATAATGAACTTGAGTCACAGCTACAAAATACCATCACAGAAATACAGAGATCAGTGTTTTAATAAGCAGGTTTTATAGCCTAGCAATATTGATACATAAAACTATTTCTGTCCACACTTTGTCAACCTGGAAACCATACACCTCTCCAGAAACCATAGATATAATTACCAAATAAAACAACAAAGTGATATTTCTGCCTAATGTGATACAACTATCCTGCCTACAATAGAAACATGCTCACCCTTTCTCCCAAAGCAGATGTAACATCCTTGGGTGATGTACATCCTTCTCTTTTGAGAACACTTAAATACAGTGATTTAGGTTAACTATTATATCTCAGATTGGATTAAGGGATAACAGAAAACATATAACAAAATTCTCATAGTATTCTCATTTCTGAAAATGGTCACATGTAGTGGCTCACCTGATCAACTGTTTCCTTCACCAAAATGCCTATTTCCTTTGACTTCAGCATCTACCTCACATGGTTTTGGTTCTTTGATCACATCACCACCCAAGTACATACAATGTATAGAGTGTTCTCAACCATCTGCAGAGTAACATCTGTGTCACTCAACAAGAGATTGAACAGTGTTCTGAATTCCAGTCAGTAAGGAACTAGTGAAATCATATAAATGTATATACGTATCACATAGAATTGATTTATCTGTTATGGAGGCTAGACAAGAATGAGAATTCTAGGGCAGATCCTTTGAAGCGCAGACTGAAACTGGTAGGAATGAAGCTGTCCACAGGGGTAATTTCTTTCAGAAATGCTGAAGTTTTTCAATGATTACATGAGTCCCACCCAGATAATGGAGGATAATCTCCTTAACTTAGGAAAAACCTTGGTACTTACACCTAGATAAACTTTTTAAAATAACTATGGAGTATATAAACTATATATATATATAAACTAGCCACAATGATGACATTTAAACTCCACTATCAGTGGAAAGAAAAATGGAAAAATATAAAGAATAACCATATATTAAGCCAAAATAATTAAGAAATAAAGAGTACTAAAATGTTATACAGGACAACACATATATGTACAGAGCACAAATATTGGAAAGCTATAATACAAATCAGATTTGGAAAGATAATAGGTATTTGGAAAGATACAGTAGATAAAATAAAATTACCTGACAGACTCTATACTTCCTCTGAATCTGATTACTTCAAGTTTCTAAAGGTGTTAAATTTTATTTAAAGAAGGGATTAAAGTAGAAGGGTGTTTAAGAAATGGGTGGGTCATTATAGTTGCTAAATCCTGTGTCTGGAGAGCTGCTTAGTCGCTCACTCACTATGGATCCAAGTATTTCTTCTCAACATAGATTAAGACAGCACAGCAAGTGTTAAAACTCCCATCTGCTTTTTACTGTCTTCTTTGATAATGTCATGGTTCCTTTTCCAAGTTAAAATTACAGTTACTATTAAAGGGATAGACTTGGAGTAGGAGCTGTTTTGCTGTGATAAATTGTTTCAGAGGATTGATGGATACTTTGAAGTTAGTGACTGGAATTTCAAATTTAAGATGACGCCATTGAGTGCCATATGCATGGGTTGTTGAAAGTTTTAAAGTTGACACTTTAAGAAAAGAAAAAACATGGAATATATTTTACATTTAATTGTGTTAAAATGTGTTTATCACAAAGTACCAGTTTTATTTATACTTTTAACTTTTCCCATTTTATTTCCATTAAGTTACCTAGCTCCTATGCTTCTATTTCGAGCATGTAATTTGTGGACTTTCAGTAACTTCTTCCTTTGGTAACTCAGATCACAGCTTGTGTTTTTTCTAATTCTGTGTGTGTATGTGTATATAAATGTGCATATGTATTCAATTTCTGTCTCCAGTTTAGCTACATCAGGTATATCCCTAAAATAAAAACATCAAACCTACAAGCTTTCAACCTGGAACAAACATGACATATGCTCACTTAAGTTTTTAATCCAGAACATATCCTTCATACTCCTCGCCCCATTTTCTCTTTATCAGGCATGCTACAAAAAGAAGCCTGGCAAGGCAGGATTGTTTACAACCAGAGCCAAAAGGATATCCTCCAGAAATGGTTTGAACACAACCCTTACCCTGATAAAGCTTCCAGGCAACAAATGGCCAAGGAAATTGGCATTCCAGAGTCTAAAATTCAGGTATGCATTAGGTTTCTATTTTATTATCTGTCAGTCAAGGTGAAGAGAAAAGCTGGGCTCAGCACTTTGACAATTCTCCTGTGTCAGGTATGTTGTTCCCAAAGTATTTCCTATTATGTAAAATCAGAAACAAAACAAGAACTTTATATTGCTTTACCAGTGGTGGAGATACTGGTTAAACGTATGTACAGATGAAAAAAGAGTAGTTGGTCCAGCCTTTCCCAACAGATGATAATTAAATCATATTTTGAGATTTACAGTATATAGAAAATTGGGTCACTATAAAGATATGATACCATTACATATTGGTAACTACAAAGTGATTAAAAATGTAGTTATGAGGAAAAATGTAATGAGAAAGGAACTGGGGGGGGGGGAGGAATCATGTATGATTCCCAGCTCTCAGCTGTTCTTTTTATTAAAATGTCTGATGTGATTCATACACGGGAGTGTATGAAGTAAAACTATTGTATTATTTTGAGTAACTACTGATGGAAAATTTAAGTTGGTTTCAATTAGTTAAGAAGTAGCTGTATACAATAGTTATACCATCACAAACAGTTTTTCAAAATAAAATTTTATTGATTTACCATTTATTTACAATACCATATATATTTCAGGGGCACATCTTCCCCTCTACATGTGTATAAGCCTCACCTCACCCAACACTTAAGTTCTAGAGTTAGTCGCACTATCAGGTTGACACCCTCTACCCTTCCTTCCTGACCCTCTTACTTCTCTTTCCTCTGGTAACCAATACATTTATTGGTGTTTCACAGAGATGAGTCATTTTTTAAATTTATTTTATTTTATTTTATTTTATTTGTGCATACAGAACAGGGTACAGGCCAGAGGCTCTGGGGCGGTGAGAGGCTTCACCAGAGACAGAGCGGGGAACAGAACAGGCAGATCGTTGAAGTACACTGCTGAGGGGAGCAGCGGGCGGGTCAGGAGAGGTCTGCCACACCATGTGGTCACCTCCGGGGCAGGCGGGAATCGAACTCATGAGGAAGCGGCTTTAGATTCTCAGTGCTGTGCTTTAACCCGCTGCGCCACCAGGGAGGGCCAGAGATGAGTCATTTTTGTTGTGATTTTTTTTATTTCATTTGCTTTTTCTATATTTCACATTTAAGAGAAACCATCCAATAATTGTTTTTCACTTTGAGTCGTTTCACTTAGTTTAATCACTTTAAGTTTGGTTCATGTTGTCACAAAAGGTAAAATTTAATCTTTTGTAGTAGCTGAGTATTGTTCCTTTGAGTAAACATACCACACTTTCTTTATCCAATCATCCACTGATGGTCATTTAAGTTGTTTTATGTCTTAGCTATTGGGAATAATATTGTTGTGAACACACAGATGCACAAATGTTCAAATTAGTGTCCTCATATTCTTTGTAAAAATACGTATGTGAGATAATTTTGAGTCATACTATAATTCCATTTTTAGGTTTTTAAGGAATCTCCTTACCATTGAGACCGTACCAGTTTACATTCCTACCACCGTGAACAAGAGTTCATTTTTCGCTGCACCTTTACCAACACATACCATTTCCAGCTTTTTGATATAGGTCATTCTTATAGATACGAGGTGATAACCTGTTGAGGTTTTGATTTGCATTTCCCTAACAATGAGTAAAGTGGAACATTTGTTCAATAGCCATTTGTACATCTTCTTTGGAGAATAGTCTGTTCAAGTCCTCTGCCCATTTACTTGTTAAACTGTTCTGTTGTTAAGTTGCATGAGATCTTTATCTATTTTGGATATTCAATTTTTGTCCAATGTATGATACACAAACACCTCCAAGTCAGTAGAATGAAATAGTATTTAAAGTGATGAAGAGCAATATGAAAATGAGTTCAGATTGTTTTTTACCAAATTTAGCATCTCCAAGAAGCCAGTGGCTTTAAGTCCTCAATCTGAGCATATGCTGGGGGGTAATTTTCCTTTTCTCTTTATGTATTTGTTCTGGATAACAAGTAACAGTGACAGCAGTTACTTAGTTCCAGCAATAAAGGTGAGTTCTATGAGAGTACCTGGTAACTGGCTGCAAAAGCTGCCAAGGGGGATGTCGAGTCCAGGAAAAAATGTAGCACATGTATGACTCTGCCTAATGTTCATTGATTTGGTCATTAGTTTTCACCTGTGCTTAAGACTTATCTGAAAATACTGACTAAAGGATAGAACCTTTTAGCATAATGCCTAGGATGTAAGAGTAGTTTGTTAAATATTGGTTGTCACTAACATCCTAAATGGACAAATTATCAAAATAAAACACTTAGAAGTTAGAAATCACAGTTCTGAGGAAGCAAGCAGAGAAGTCTACTGGTCTTGTTAATGACAAGTTTTATGGTCTGGAGAAAGAAAATGTGGTGCAGGTTCCTGAAAGGACTTCTAAAAAAAAAAAAAAAGAGGAAATGTGGATGCCAGCCTAGTAATTTAAAGAAACTGTTCTCTAAGATCAATCCCATGCATATTGTATATTATGAAACAGTATTCCTTATGAAGAGATGATTGGGGCAAAAAAAGATATTCAGACATTGATGATCAGCTTAGAGAAGTAGAGTAAGAAATAAAGCAATATTCATTTCCTTTGAGAGAACTAGAAGTGCCTCTTAAATTAGGGAAATTTACTTAAAGATAACCTTAAGAGAAACGCTAATATGAGCTGAGAACCAGATTGTGTGCTGTTCTGAATTATATGCTAATGGAAACATCATTCCTAGGAATATATCACCTTTTTCTTATGGATATTACCCCAATGGCAGTTGATAAAATGGGTTTTATTGAACTGGACTGGAATTTGGAATGACACAGACTGAGTTACATGACTTTTCTGTCTTGTTTCCCACTTAGATTTGGTTTAAAAACCATAGAACGAAACAGAGACAGTTGGAATCTGAATGTTACTTAGGAAAAGACCAAACCCAGGTGCAGGATGAGACTCTAACTTGGACTCAAGGTAAGAACCCACCAGTCCTTTGGGCCTCCCTGGTGGTGCAAGGGGTTAAAACATAGCTCTCTGAAGCTATCGCCAGTCCCTGAAACACAAGTTCAATCCCTGGCAAGGGAACTGACCCACATGGCACAGCCTCACCTGCTGCTCCCCTCAGCAGTGTATTTCAGTAGATCTGTCTGTTCTGCTCCCCATTCTATGTCTGGTGAATCCTCTCATTCCCCTAACCCCCATACTTCTGGCGTGTACCCCAGTTCTTGTATGAATTAAAAAAAAAAAAAAAGTCTTTTAAAAAAAAAAAAAGGACCTACCTAGTCCAAATATATTTCCTCAGTGGGTTTCTTTGAGAAAGGAAATGATTCTGCAATGCTGTGCCCAAATTTTCCATGAAGAATCCAGTTACAGCTTGTCTGAGCACCCTTATATCAGAAATATATGCACAGTTGGCTGGAACAGGTAGGTTCTTAGCAGGCAAATCTTTGGATCTTTTCTCCTGCTGCTCTAAATAGGGCAGGGTACTCTCCTGCCACCCAGGGCGATTAATGAGATCAGCATTATCTTTGCAAGTTTGAATTTCTAGCTCTACTATGAAAAATGTCCTAAAAGCTACCACTTGTTCTGTGTTCTCCTTCAGAATACTTACCAAAAGAAACCAGACAAGACCAGACATTTGTTACAAGATCTCAATCAAACATCCTAATTCAAGACTTTGAAAGGAGCCAATTCCCTTGTATTGTGAACAGAAAAAAAGGGGCTAAACAAATAGGCATTCCAGAATCAACAATTCAAGTAAGTTCTATTGTCTGTGGACCAAATATGTCTTCCCTGTAAGTGGTATTACCCATTAAGGGGTTGCTAGAAACCTTGACCTTGGATTATCAGGGTCGTAAGGACAAAAGTATAAGGGTAAACAGCCAGCACTGTCATATTCCAGCAAAAGGAAAATATCCAGTTGAATCACCAGTGGGAAAATGTGACAGTTAATACCTATTTGAGACATTGTCAGGTTTTCTACAGCTTGGCATTGTTCTTATTTTGGGCCTTCTTTCATGTGAGGAGTTATTCTGTGCCTCATAGGTTACTTTTCATCTTTTCTAGCCTAGAAAACCTGAGAGGCCCCTATTTTTGACACCCCCCAAGAATCTAGAAATGTAATCAAACGTCCTCCAATCGGGGGACAAAATTGTCCCCATTGATTACCTTTTCTACATACTGGGGATAGTGACTAGAAAACGATAAATGCTTATGACTAGGAACCATATTCATAAGTTTTGGCACATAAACCCCCCCCCAAAACACATATTTGTGTTTTTATAACCCTGATCAGATTTATGCACAAACATATGTGTTCTTATACACATATCCATAATGAGTGGGAAAATGTCAACCTAGTAAAGAGCTTGTTTGATGAACCATTGTTGCAATTAGAAGATCCTAGATTATATCTTTTCAGCCAATTTCAATTCATCAATAGTTGATTGCGGAATGTGTTGTATTTTATCAATTTATGTTATCTATATACACACTATGCACATGTATACACAAACACAGAAATAACTCATTTCATACACACACACAGCCATCCTTCTAATAAGGCCTATATTGCTAGTTCCTTTGCTTTACACAGTATGAGAACACAGCCAGAGCCATGTCTTATGATGTCCATGTCTCCCTTTTCCTCACATATTTGTGGCTTCAGAACCGAAGATCTCTGTACCCTGGGCAGAGCAGAAGTGAGCCTATGACTTCCTTGGTAGATGATCCAAGTGAGAGACCAGATCTAATAGTTCAGCAGCACGAATTTGACCTTTCCACTCTTACAGGCAGGTCTCATCATTTTCCTTCCTCCAAATCTTTCAGCCAGAAACAAACATTTCTACCAGCTCATCTCCCATCCCATGTGTCTTTTGTTCCGTGTGTGACCCAAGGACCAAGTGTCAGGATGGTGCAGCCCATACCAGCTGCAAAGGGAGGAGACAGCTCTCCTACTCCGACACTTAGGAGTTATGTGCCAATGCCACCAACTCTGGGAGGAGACCTCTCAGATACCGAGACTGATTTCCTATCACCCCCAAACCAAGAAAAGTGCCAGAATCAAAAACAACAGACTGGCACAAGAGTAGGGCAGGTGAAGGACTGTTCTCAGCCTCATCCTGAACACAAAAAGCCCCAGTTACAGGAACTGGACATATCTTACATTATGCAGTGGTGGGATGAGGGCTGCCAGGCTCTGATTGCAGAATGGGATCCTGGAGAAGGAACACACTAAGACTTGTGGCCACAGCAATCAATGGAGAATCATCTCATCCCCTTGGCCAACTGCACCAGCAACATGTAGAAATCCCACGCCTGTTAAATCAATTCCTACCACACACAGGTTTTTAGAAAAGGTATAACCACAGAAAGAGGGAGGACCAGGACCCCAGTTTTGCCTCAGTGAAGAAGATTTTCAGACTCAGCGCCACATGCTGCAAGCTCACCCAAGGCCTGAACTTTCGGAGGTAGAAATATTCTCAGAATAAGGTCAAGACCTCCTTTCTTTAATACAGAATCAGTACAATTTATAGGATAATGAAAATGAAGTCATCCTTTTTGGGACAAGAATAATTCAAGTAGGAGAAACCACTTGAAAACCCAAATGGAGGTTTTCACGGTCTTGTGGGCAGTGGTTATTTGCCCTGTTCACTTCACGAGGATGGTTTCCAGGCTCCATACTGCCTCTGGAAGCACTGTGGGCACTACCTGGCTGCGGAATCCTGAACAAAGCATTTTACTGGCAAATAAAACCTCCTTGTGAGCACCCCATCCTCCAGAGTCTGGAAAATCTACAAACTATAATCACATCCAGATGAGAATAGGCCCATGAGGGACACTTTGGTACTTCTGAAAAGCTAACAAGGCAAACTGAAGTTTATTTGTCATATAGAAAATGAAAGGATGCTATATTTTCTGATGATGTGACTTCGTGAAAGTGAGCTTTTTCCCTGAGCTCTGAGGATCAGAATTGGGAAGTAGAAGCTACCTCAGCATCCATCATAAGGGAGCGGTTAAATTAATTCAGATAAATCCAAAATTCTGAAAATTCACTTAGGATTTTTTCCTTGTTTTTTGATTTTTCTTTTTATTTCCTTTTATTGCTTTTTTAAAAAACTTTGACTAACATACAATTAACTTTAACTATAAGGAAAATATAGTGGCAACACCATACAGTCACTAAACAGTCCCATGTTAGTATTGCCAAGGTTTTAGGCTTTTCATATATATATATTCACATGTGTACATATATACATATATATTCACAAAATAAGTATTTTGTCATTTTATTATAAATTATATGTTAATCTAAAATCTGCGAAACCATTCTTAATCCTCTCCCTTCTTTGGAAATGGTAACTTTTAAAAATAGGCTTTAGTGTATAAAGATGTATATGGTGTATATGGGTCTTCCCTTAGTACAATAAAAATCTTTGAAAAAAATACCTCCTCATTCATTTTATCAATTTACATTGATAAGTCTCACATTTGTTTACTTTTCCCCATGAACGGACTGGGACATGGTTAGTACACATACATCCAGTTCCACCAAGATACCACTTTGTACTAATAGAGCTGAAGAGTGGACATATACACTGCTGACTGCATACATTAAGTGAAAGAGTTTCTCAAGTATTTATATACTATAGCACAACTGCCAGAATATTCTACCATCACAATTTATGGTTAATTTACACTGAGAAGTTATTTTTCCTACTAAGAACTAAACTTTCATTAATTGCCTAAAAAATTAAAACTAATATGCATGTGTACACACACAAATACAATTAGTGTTAGATGTCTTTAATTATTTGATAGTGTTGATAAAATGCACATGTTGTTTAGATGACTTAAACAACATAAAATTTCTTTTCTCACAATTCTGGAGGATGGAAGTCCAGGATCAAAGTGTTTGCAGGTTTGGTTTCTTTTGAAGATTCTCTTGCTATGCTGATGCTTTCCTCTCCCTGGATCTTTATATCTTTCCTCTATGTACACTATGCCAGTGTGCCTCTCTGTAGGTCTAAACTTCTTCGTAAATTTCATTTTCTTAGCTCCAACTGCACTGCCTCTGGCTTTGGTTTTGGTATATTTACACAGTATACCAAAGGCACTAGAAGCTATCCAATCCAATGGCATCCTATAACACCTGTAAAAGATTGCTTTGTAAAAAGTTTACACTGTCTTTTTGAAAATGTAGGAAAATAATTTGATTTACTTAAGATATTCTTGTAGACAACAGCTATCAATTAAATAAACTACTGGGCATAAGAGTAATCAACAAGCTGCTCTATAAAACCCAAGTGAGATTTCCAAATCTCTGACCCTTATCTGTGGCAGCCCATGGTGGCAAGTGATGATCCCAGGAAACAGCATAATATATTTCCAGAAAGATCCCAGGACAAGTACAGTATCAAATCTGAAGGCTGCAGATTGAAAATCTAAAGAGCAACTGAGGAAGGCCTCCTTGTTGACAGACACAGTAGGAGGCACAGAACCTGAGAGAAAAAGACCAGAAAGATATGCAGAGTGAATGCCAAGGTCATAATTATCATTAATAAACATAAATAGCATTTGTTGTAAGAAAATATACTCAAGAAGCAAATTAAAAACAAGGCAATTTATTGGGAAGATGAGACAAGAGAGAACACAAAATACTAAGTCCACATTGATGATAAGGCGCTTCCTCCTGAGTGGGATATTCTTGCTCCTGGAGAAAATGACTAGATCTGTCTTTACAATGGAGGTTTTTAGCAAACCCTGACTTTTTATTTGGGTGTTAACTCTGTGCTTTCAGACCACATTCCCTGGAAAAGCTCACAATCTATAGCCCAAGGAGAATAGATCTTGATTACTGTAAGTCAACTGATTCAATTTCACTTGCCCTTCTAGAGATGGGCTTAGGAAGAGGTATGTGCCATAACTCTGGCCAAGGATAAGTCTCTGAGGAGTTTCCCATTAATAAAGGTAACACCTAACAGGAAATCCTCCCTCTTCTGTTGGAACTGTAACCACTGCCTTTCATCCACAAGGGGAGCAGCCTACAGGACAAGCTAAGGATAGCAGAGCAGAAAATCAAAAGTACCCTGAAGCTATCCTACATATATGAAATAAGAAACCTTTTATTATTTAGTCTTTAGTTAGGTTTCCAGCTATATACATATATATATATATATATATATATATATATATATATATATATACCTTGTTGATACAGGCAGGTGGCATATGATCCTGCAAACACCATTAGGCCAAAAGAGAAGATCAAGTTCAAGAACTTCTGAAGTTCAACAGCACCTGCTCAGAAGAAATAGGAAATAGAGAAAAACAAATACCAGGAGCATAGCTCTCTACTACAAGGAAAAAATGTTTCTACCCCTAATGAAATTAGGGGCCTAAAAAGGCCTAGAAAATTTCAAAGGCTTCAGAGTTGGAGGAAAGGTAAGTAAGGTCCACAATTCAAGAGCTAAATTGAACAGAAAGTGATGTCTCCCAGAACACAAGCAAAAAAGCAGAGCTAGAATTACAATGTGGGGGGGGGGAAAAACCCTAAAGAACAAGAATTTGGCAATTCAAAGAAGAGAGGCCCCAGCCCTAGGACTTGAATAATTGGTATTAGAAGCAGATGAAGCCATAGCTCAAAGCCATTAACTATTAAGATCTAACTCACTATCCCTGCTTAACAATTTTTCTCCAAAAATATAAAAATATTTTATATCCCCACTGACTTCTCCAGCAGGAGATGAAATGACTAACATTAAAAAAGCAGGTACTAAAAATTACTGGTTCATAATGAGCACCAAAGTTGGTGTATGCTTTGTTTGTATCTTACCTTTTGATCGCTAAAACCCCTTTGCATTTAACTTGACAAAACTGAAACTTTTAGCACTATAAAGTCACCTGGCTATGGTAACTATACTACAGTACAGATAGCCTAGATATCTCCCACCATATTTCAAGCAATGATTTTAAACCATCCTACAGTCTTATCAGAATGGAGAAGACATTTTCAACAAATGCCCACCATCCATCCCCTCCCAGGCCTCATCTAAAATTATTACTGTGATGAGAGCATTACTGCCAGAGTGTGTTACAGCCTACCAAGACACTAAGGCAGGGGGAAAAGGTAAGCAGTTTGATTTGCAGCGCATTCCCATAAGAGCAGATATTTGACAAAGCATCTGAATGTAGCTGTTGATTCCAGGATGCACTAGTAGGGAAGTAGGACTATAAGACAAAAGAAGGACTCCTTTGTAGGAAGTATTCATAAACAGATTCCCATGGAGGGCAACAACAATTATTCCTGCTGGGACCTAAAAGATAACATGCATGGGCCTCCCTGGTAACACAGGGGTTAAAAAATAGCACCATCCAGGGTCCTCCCTGGTGGCACAGAGGGTTAAAATGCAGTACTAAGAAGCTAAAACCACTTCAACATGAGTTCAATCCCCGCCCCGGAGGTGACCACATGGCGTGACTGACCTTTCCTGACCTGCCCGCTCCCCTCTGCAGTGTACTTCTCAGTTGGCCTGTTCTGCTCCTGTTCTGCCTGTTCTGGTGAATCCTCTCACTGCTCCTGCACCTCTGACCTGTATCCCAGTTAGGTATGCATATAAATAAATGTTAAAAAAAAAAATATATATAGCGTCATCCAGCTATGGCCAGCCACTGCAGCATAATTCGATCCCCGGAGGCCAGAGAGCTGACCCACACAGCACAGCAGAGCTCTCGTATCACGGCTGCTCCCTTCAGCAGTATATTTAATACTGTTCTGCTCCCCATTCTGTCCCTGGTGAATCCACTTACTCCTCTGCACTCCTGGCCTAAACCCATTCTTGTAGGCATAAAGAAATCTTTTCAGGCCCCCCTGGTGGCGCAGCGGGTTAAAGCCCAGCACTGAGAATCTAAAGCCGCTTCCGCATGAGTTCGATTCCCGCCTGCCCCGGAGGTGACCACATGGCGTGGCAGACCTCTCCTGACCCGCCCGCTGCTCCCCTCAGCAGTGTACTTCGACAATCTGCCTGTTCTGCTCCCCACTCTGTCTCTGGTGAAGCCTCTCGCCACCCCTGAGCCTCTGGCCTGTACCCCAGTTCTGTATGCACAAATAAATAAATCTTTAAAAAAAAAAAGAAATCTTTTCAAAAAATAAATAAAAGAGGCCCTCCCTGGTGGCGCAGCGGGTTAAAGCACAGCACTAAGAAAGAAGCTTAAGCCACTTCCGCATGAGTTCGATCTCCGCCTGCCCTGGAGGTGACCACATGGTATGGCAGACCTCTCCTGTCCCGCCCGCTGCTCCCCTCAGCAGTGTACTTCGTCGATCTGCCTGTTCTGCTCCCCACTCTGTCTCTGGTGAATCCTCTCAACCTCCACATCTCTGTCCTGTACCCCAGTTCTGTATGAATAAATAAATACATCTTTAAAGTAAATAAATAAATAAATAAATAAATAATGACATGCATGTGGAAAACCAGTTTAGCCACAAGTCTGTCCAGATCTTCAAGGGTAATTAATGTAAGGCCCTACATTATTAAGAACAAACAAGTAGAAAGTAGATACTTGCAGGCCATCTATACACCTGAAGAGGATCTTGAGATGAAGGTGGGCACTTGAAGCATACAATGAATCAAAACAAGGAGGTAGGGATCCATGAATCAAAACAAGGAGGTAGGGATCCATGACATGAAGACAAGGCGATGAGACAGACCTGGCCCTCAGCCATAGCAGTACAGTTTCCGAGGCCAGACTCCAGCACTGCTCAGATCGTGGGATTACTTATGCTGGAAAAGGCTAGGAGTGTCCTCCCTACTAGGCCTTGTCCATGTGGGGAGGGTGCCTAAAATGAGAGAAATCTAGCATACTTTCTAACCTTTCAAATACAAGCCTATTAGGTTATTTGAATTTACTCTGAAGGTTTTGAATGAGTCTGGGAAGAAATCCAGAAATGAACCATGGCATGTGCCATTATTACTTTTTTTCCTATCAAGTCTTTATCTTCTCTCCACTTTGTCTCCTCTGAGAATGGAACTGGAATACAGGCAGAGCTGGAGTTTGGGAGTTTGTCTGGAGTATATAAAATACTGACTTTCAGCTGCAAGACAGTCTTCTGAGGGTAACAAATCCAGTATAGGTGAAGATATCCTTACTAAAATAATGATTTTAAGATAAAGAAAAGATGGCATGGAAACCACCATTACATTCAGGGTAACTTAAACATTCAGATGTGTCATTCCCCTTGTAAGCAAGAAAGCTGATATGAATCCTCTAATTCCCACTTGCCCCACTCAGTCACCCTCAGGAGTATTAGCTGCAGAGCACTACTAGAAGGTGATGGCAGCAGGATGCCTACTGGCAGCACATGCTGGACTAGTGAGTCCCAGGGAATAGTGGTGGAGTACCGACACCTTCTGCACACACCTGACAGTTCCCAATTGGCTCCTCTCCCTGCGGGTCTCAGCCGTTCACCCAATTCTGTCATCACAGCCCTTGACAAAGATCTTCTCTCTCTCTTTCATCAAGAAGAACTAGCATCTTTCTGATGGCCTATTCATTCTAAAATGGAAGGACCCCTTTTGTTAGGTCTGCTTAATCAAAGCCAAACATGTCAGTTCCTTTATAGTTTTTATATCAAAAAAAGCTTTGTGAACACAAAGGAAACACCTATTAGAGACTCAAAAACACAAAATTCTATTTATTTTCAATAACAAAAGCAACACAACAAAAAGGAATTAATCCCCTAATTTTTAAATCTAACACAGTCCTTTGCACAAAACTACCTTCAATAAATAAAGACACATTACTACTAACCAAGTTAAGACTATTGAGACTCTCTAGGATTCAATGTGTGTTTTCAACAAAACTGAGTGACAGGTAAAGAAACACATGCTAGAGACTTGACTGACAAGGACTCAAGGAAAAGGACAGACAAGGAGCATGGTCCCAAAATATCAAGGGAATTTGGACTTTCCGAAGGACTGCAGAAATCAGAGCTCACTGGGGTTCAGAATAGTCCGTGATCGAGGCCTTGAATTTAATCTTTCCATGTCTATAGATTCTTGATTTGCAATATATTACAATTAAAGGAGCTTCTTCCAAAGGATAAAAGGACTTTATTCATGTTGCCTGAAAAGGCTATGTATGTTTATTTTCCTTCTTTGACTCTGTCACTAGCTCCTGTCACAACAGAGCAGGGGTTGCAGTAGTAATCTGAAGCAGGTTACTACTACACAGACCCGCCTCTCTCTGGCTTAGATTTTCCTTTCATAAACACACTGCCACTGCCAGGGACAGCTCTAAATATATCCAATTTCTTTTATTTTTATACTGCTACACAACTCTGCATGGCTACAAAATCTAGAACTCGCGAGGCAAGGGCAGCATTAATCTGAAGACAAGCATTAGCTCCTAAGACTTTATAGTTCAATGGTCACAAAACTTTCTGACCACCTAATCTGCCACATCTTTTTTCTTTACTCATTATCTTACCAATTATTTCTTTCGGAATTCAATTCTCCGAGCTACATTCTGAGCACCAAACTTTTTGACCAATGCATCTCGGGTATCTTCATCATCTTTCTGCAAATCTAAGTCATCCTGTCTGGACCAAATAGGATACCCGTCAGCCCTCTGACCAGACTCTAAAAATGAGGCAGTAGCCTCTAGCTCACCACTATTTTTTAGAAAAGCCTGTGTAACTGTTGACAGATCCAAGTTAAACTTTTCCATTAACTGCCGGATGATCTTAATGGCAGCTCCCACCTCTGGTGGAGAAACTTTTTCTTCTTCTTCTTCTTCTTCCTCCTCCTCAGGTTGTGTTTCTGAGTCTTCTTCGGGTGGATCGTCATCACACATTGTTATGTGTATTTCAAAGTCAGGGCTCTCATCCACCTAGAGAAAGTAATGAATATGACCAATTCCTAATTACAAAGTCCCACGCTCCTACGACACATGGTGGCCTCTCCCAACGACCACCTCCTTGCCCGTCTCACTTCAATCACACTAAACTTTCTTCAATCCTCTAACATGCTATTCTTTCTTACCTTGTGTTGGATGTATGAATATGTATATGCACATATATATATCTCTATGACAGGGTAAGTGTGAATATGTCTGTAGGTGGGGGGGACTACAAATGTGCAGATATGCAGGTATGTGCATAATTAACTATGGTATTCCAACAGGACATTAGAAAGTACCCAAAATATGAAAAAATGCCCATGTGCACATGTGCATGAATTTGTTAAGTTTGACTTCACTCTCAGACTCTAAGCTCCATTAGGACAAGAATTTTCAGTTTTCCTCATCACTACTTTCCCAGTGCCTATCAGTATATACATATATATGTACTCAAAACATACTACCCTTTGAATATATCATGACCTTAAAGCTATACTATATTTAGCATATTCCAAAGCATGTCACATATCAAGACACCTATGAAGACAGTGTTTGAGAGTTAAGACTTAAAAGTCTATGGGAAAATGAAACAAATATCAAATAATATAACAAACTCAACTAGAAAGGGCAACCAGTCCTAAATATTGTCAATTTCTCTGCATTCTTAAACTCACCAATTACAGAAACTTTACATTGTTTTCGTATTGGAGACTGGGACTAACCATTTATTTTAGTGTAAGGGTAATTAATTTACAAGAAAATATGCATATGTAGGTTGGTTTTACTTTTTTAATACTCATTACTTTATTGTTTCTGCCTTTCTCTATAACTACTATTAAATATAGGATTCCAACAGGATATTAGAAGTTATATTGACTATGGAATATAGAAGAGCTAAAAGATTCCACTCAAATCTGAAATACACAAAAAGCTAAACTTGTTTGACAAAATTAAAGTCTTAAAAATAAAATGTTTCCTAAGAAAAACAATAAGTTTTAAAAAATGAATCCAATCTTAACTTTTAATAATGTAAACTGAGATTACAAGTACTCAAAATGGAAAGTTTTACATTGTTTGAAAATAATTCTCCCCCTCCTTAAGTTGTCTTGCCAAAAACAAAGCTACAAGCCTGGATCCTAAACTAGCCCCATTTCCCACTTTTCCTCACCATTTTAAATTTATACCTTTGAGGCCTGACATGTATGATAAGCGCACAGAGTAAAAGGATTTCAAAGTAAAAGAATGAAGATAAGTGGGGGGAAAAGAGTTAAATCTAGTTAACATACCACAATCTCCTCAAACTCCCGGGTAGCTTCAACAAGCATCTTTTTGACTGCTTCTTCATTCTCTTTGATCTCTTCCTTTACAACAAACTCCTCTTCATCTGGCAAGTCTGGAGTTCTCTTATTTTGTGGCTCTGTTTAAAGAGAAGAGCAGCACCAGACTGCAATTAGCCTCTTTTAGAAAAACCAAAAATATATAGCGTACTCTATGAACTTGGGACCAGAGTAAACCTGCAATATTTTTTCCTCTTAGAAGAAATTTGTTTTTGATTACAAAAATAAGAAAAATATAAGACTGAACATTCAATAATTTTTACTCTTGCTTCTGAAAATTTGTACTATACCAATGGTGATTTTCCTAGGCTCTAATATGTAAAATACAAATATTCTATTTTAATTCATTTTTTGCCTTTTAATTCATTGTATATTTATAGATTTTTCCAATTAACAAAAGTGCCATAAGTAGCAGACTTCTCTGAAAAGCAGATTCTGAGATAGATAATAACATGTATTTATCAGGGAGAAATACCTGCTGAAAAGATGTTAGAGGGAATGGGCAAAGAAAGAACCAAGCTGTGAGAGAATCTAACAAGGCCTCAGTTAAAGACATGGGGTTGACCAAGTTGGGGTGAGGGAGCCAAGACTTTGCATAATCCAGTCACTGCACAGACTTAGCCAACCTAGTATAACTAGAATTTGAGCAAGCCATCTCCCACTTTTTGTCAAGTGTCCATGTTGGTGGCTTCTCCCAGCTTTTATATACATAAATAAATCTCTTAAAAAAAGAGAAACAAACTGGTGTCTACCAAGCACCAAAAGGACACATAACAGAGATGGTAACTTCAGTCAACAGGGAAGTAGAGATCATTAGGGAGACTTACTTTCCACTCACTCCTTTGTACCCTATGAATATTTGTAGGATAAATTCCTAGAAGCAATAATATCACCTTAGCTATGGTGATGGTACATGGATGATTTGGTGATGGGAAGCCCATGGGGATTACAACTGAGATGGAAAAATGCACAAACTATTATAAAAAATAATTATCATAAAAAAAATAATAATAATGCCACCTTAGATGTTCACAAAATGTCCTCCATCTTGTACCAATATCCTTTTATTAACAAATGGGCTTGTACTTGTTTTCATATACCTCACCAATTTGGATGTTACCCACCCCATCTGGTAAATAAGACATTCCTTGCAGGTGATTTGTTTCTAAAAAAACAAGAAATGCATATTTAGTAATTCAGCATCCAGGGTCAGAAGTTCACTAATATGCCCCGGCTCAGTTCACTTCTACTTATTATTCCTTCGCCATGTACTTCCTTTTCTGGATATTCCATTTCCTTTACATATTTCTCTGCTTTTTCTTTTACATATTAACTTATGCAGACTCTTTGGACATTAAGGTAATTAAGTCTGTTGCAATTTACTAGGAGTATTTTTCCAGTTTGACCACTATCACAATAAGTTTTTAAATAACTTTGTTTTAAGTAACAGATACATAAAGCTTTTGCTTAGTTACCTTAATTTCAAGACTATCACCATGCTAATATTTTCTAAATAATGTAATATTTTATTTTGTGCCTTTTTCCATCTCAGTTGTAATCCCCGTGGGCTTCCCATCACCAAATTACCTGTGCACCATCATCACCATGCTAATATTAAACAGAATGTTCACCCATATTTGCTATTAAGATTTTAATTTCTACATTTTAAGATTTTAATTTCTACATTAAAATATCTATCATCAAATTATTATTCTGTGTAGGGTGAATCCAGTTTAATTTTGTGCCAAGTTCCAAGTGACTTGCCAGTTGTCCCAACACCACTGAGTAAAAAGGAAGGTTCGCAAGACCTATATGACTCATACATACATTTGTCATCTATCCTAGAATCCCCTCCTACTAAGTCCACTCCAACCACACTATCTCTCTGTGCCTCCAAGAACACACCAGTCCAACTCCCACCTCACTCTGCACTTCACATAGCCAGCCAACACCTTGCTCTTTCAGTTCCTTGGTCTCTCCTCCAACTATGATGCTAGTGACCTCACCTTATCACCCTGTAGGAAACAACCTCTTCCCCAACCTTCCTCTGAGACTCTGCTCCAGAGCTCTTATGACTGCCTGGCTAGTGTCAGATTCCAGCACTGTAACAATGTCTAGCCCGCAAATGTCTGTTGAATGAATCTGAAATACCATTTTTTGCCACACACAAAAATCCTACTAAGCATGCAGAAGGGAAGCAGATTCACCCTCCCGGGGGCGTCCACCATTCTGGAATAAGAATGGGAAAAGGGAAAGGGAGCGGACGAAGCACGCTTTCTTAAACAAGGACGCCAGCCTACACTGACACCCGTTGTACAGAAACACTGAGGCATCCTGGCAGCTCTGCACTGTCCCGATCATGCCGACATCCCGACATTCCCCTCATCTGACATTCCCTCATCTGCACATCCCTGCAACTGAAGGAGACCAGGAAGAGGCCAGCTGACAAGGACCTCCTCATGTGAAGGCGCCCAACCCCAGTCCCTAGACCGTCGGGGACCAGAGAACTTTTTGAAATGACTCTGCATTCAATGAAGCCAAAACATGAAAATAAACCTGTCTGCCCTGACATCCTGGAACTTTTTGAGCGAGTCCCCGAAATATCTCTAAAAAGAGACACAAGAAGATGGTTACCTGTTGAAGAAAACTAGGTGGCTGGTGAGAGGGTGGGCATGAACCCCCAAAGGAGACTTTTTGTACCATTTGAATGGAACCATGCCAATACCAAATGCCAGAAGAAAATGGTTCAATTTTGCCCGGGTGTCGGGGGGGGGGGGGTGGGGGGGTGGTTGGGAGAAGCCACCAACATGGACACCTGACACAAGGGGAGAAGGGGACGCCCGGACCCCACAGGTGTCGGCAACAGGACCCGCGCGTTCGCAGAGGCTGGGCTCACCCCCGCTGTCCGCAGCCTCGGGGTCCTGCTCTGCTTTGCGCTTGAGTTTCTGTGAAGAGGGGCTCACTGGGGCGTCCCCCAAAAGGTACTTGTGCTCCTGGCCCCGCAGGTGCTTGAGGTAGCGGTCCTTCATGGACTGCCAAGAGTGCGCAGTGAGCGAGCTCTTCTCCAGCGCCTTCCACAAGGCGGTGCCGGTGACCGACGAGGGCGAGCGGGAGTTTTCCTTCACGTAGGTCAAGATGGCCACGTCGTCCGCGTCCGTGAAGCCCACGCGCCCCGTGAGCTGCGGCGGCTCGGACTCCGCGGCGGCAGCGGCGCCCTGGGCCTGGGTCCCGGGCTTCGACTCTGGGGCCTGCTCGGCCGCCCGGGCCGCGCCCAGCCGATAGGCCTGCAACTCGAGCCTCTCGTTGCGCTCCACGCAGTCCAGGATGTACTGCGTGGAGATGAAGTCGCCCGACGCCTCGGCCGGCGCCTCCCCGGGCTGGGCCAGCAGCACGGCCCCCGGCTCCTGCACCCGGCACAAGGTGCCGCCGCCGTGCAGGATGAGCGTCGACAGCCGGCGCTTCGCCGGGCTGGGGCGCACGTAGAAGGACATGGAGCTGCCATCCTCGTTCACGAACAGAGTCGGGGAGTGGGTGGGCCCGTTGGGGTCTTTGCCTAAATCCAGCGCCTCCGCCATCGCCACCACAACAGCTGCCCCCTAACGAGTGTCGGGCGCCAGGCGCTGCCGCGAACCGCGCAGGCTCAGACGCCTCAGCCGGGAAGCCCCGCTCTGCGCCTGCGCGGCAGTCGCGCCGGGAGCGCCCACCCACTCTTCCCGGAAGGGGCGGGGCCTCCGGCGGTGACCTGGAATTCTCGGGGCGAACCTCGTCCCTTTCGGGTCGGGCCGTCGGGGAAGATGGCTGCGGTGGACGGACCGGAGGTGAAAGTGGATGGCGGCGAGGCGAAACTGAGCAAAAAGTAAGTGTCGCGGCGGGTAATTAAGAACCGGGCAGTCTTAGAGTCCGAAGTAGGAAGTGCCTCGAGGCTCAGGCCGAGGCGGCGGTGCCTGGCACGTTCTGGCCGGTGCTCGTGCGTGTGGACACGCCGGGATGGTGCCGCTACGCCCAAACTACATCCCCCAGGATGCCCGGGAGCCGCCTGCCCAGCGCAGGCATCAAGCCCTGTGTCCCGCTCCTGGAGTTAGAAGACGAAGAACGGGGGAAGTGACAGAAAAGCGAAACCCCTGCTCTTACCCCCGCCCCCAGAAACTGTTTCTCTTACTACGGAGCCTCACCCCGAGAAGGAAGTTGGAGAGAGATTGAATACCCTGGCTCTCCCGAAAGTTTTCCTTGGTCTCATCAAGGCTGTTCTGAAATTTAGACATTGTAGGGGGTTGTGCCCGGGGCCGTACGGGTTAGTCAAAGGATCCGTGAGCATGGAGTGAGGGACCAATGCTAGCACTCGGGGCTGCCTATTCAGCTGAATACACCGGAATGCACTCACTCTTGCCGGGTACTTCTTTAGGAACCACAGTGCGAAGGTAAATGTAAATGCGTCAAGATTAGCCTCCCTTTAACTGGTTGTGTCTTGTTTGCTCTAAGTACCATGTTCCCTCTCAGAAGCATAGGGCACAAGCAATGATGTGAGTGACTGCTTTTCTCGGTACTACAACAGATGGTACATAACTGCCTTCTAGAACTACTCCAGGGACTTAGCGGTTTATTCTTTACGTGGAATAATGGTCTTGGTGCATTAGGACTCAGTTATCTTGCTGAGCCCTGATGGAGTTGTTTTAGACTAGACCATTAAAAATGTTTTTTAATAACAGTTATTTCTGATACTCTAGAAAAATGAGAGATCTAAATTCTGTAGGTTGGCAGCGCCCTAATGTAGCACTCTTATGAGAGGATCTGACAGATCTCTTTCAATGTTTGAAATCTGGTCTGAACTTCTGCTTTCTGCAAGGCAGGCTGGACTTTGTCACATCAGTAGTTGAGTTTTAGGGTTGTAGATCATAGATGCCTCCTCAGCAGGGTCTCCAGTTAAGGGTGCTATTTCAAGGTAAATTGAGGAAACTGGCCAGTCCCCTGTCTAGTTAACTTTTTTATCCAAATGACAAGCTACCACTTCTTAAAGCAGCTTTTATGGGTCAGAAACTGTGCTAGAACTATGCAAACTTTCTGCCTAATCTCATAATAGTCCCACAAAGGAAATGTTAGTGTCCTTTATTTCAAATTAAACCCAGGCTCTGGGTGAGATTACATTACTGAAATGTGAGCTATCGTCGATCCATATTATCAATCCAAAGCTCCAGGGCAGAGATCTAAAATTAAATGTACAAGCAATACAGCCCACCTGCACCCTACTTCCTCACATTGGCTGAAAAAAAATCTGCTGTTATATTGTATATCCCTCTAGTGACCGTGTGATGAAAAATTTTTCAAATGTAATTTTCAATTACTTCTTAATTGTTCTTGGGACTTACATTGTCTGTGTCATTAGTGAGCACTATTTTATACTGAGTGTTTTCTTGAAATTTAGAAACAGATGAACTGCCCACTGGGCAACTCATACCCAGACAAAAGACCCAATATATTTGAACAAAGAACTTGATCCCTGTAATTCTGTTGCCTTTTAGTGTTAATGTCTCAAAATGAATTTTGAGGCTCTCTGAAAAGTTCTCCTTTCCTTCTTCCTAGAGCTCCAGACAGGTCTTACCATTGACACAGAGGTGCTTGCTTCTACCTCTCTCTGATTTTGCAATTTGTGTAGCCTGCTTATAGATTTCTCTAGAGTTTGCTGTTGGTGTTGACATTATATGCTCCTTTTTCCATCTTTGTGGCCACTTATTTCATCTCTGTGAAATGCAACTACATGTCAGGAGCCTCAGAAAACACTGCCTTACTCTTCTCTGTTTTCTGCAGTTCTCTGATCATATTTCATATATACCATTGATGTATTTGCTGTTGATTTTTGATCCATGGTATTCATCTTGTTGTCATAATCAGGACTCAGAGCAATGTCAGTTATATTTGCAGCACAGGGAGTGTTACAGGGTTGTTAAGAGGGTCTTAAGTGAGACACAAAAAAGATTTTGTAACTTCCACCCCCAACCTCTGTGAGTAGAAGTGCTGGTTGGGTATATGTATATTGTCTGTCCCTCTGACACCACATCTCTGTGTTTCCTGTTAGGTGGTGATAATCATTAGTTCCAGGGTGTTCTGCCATGTTGACGCAAGCTGCTGTAAGGCTTATTAGGGGCTCCTTGCGCCAAACCTCCTGGGCACAGTGGGGGCAGAGGGAGCTGCGACTGTGTCAACTTGCTCCTTTCACAACGATTCTCAAGGACAAGCCACTTTCTGATAAAAGAAGGTTGGTGCCTGTTACCTTTATTGCTCTGGGAGCAAAACTACTTCCTTTAACTTAGCTCCTTACCTGGTTTAGCCTCTGGCTAGCTCTTTGGACTTGTTGCTAAAGAAACAACCCTACTACCAAAACTTATTTAATAAGTTCAAATTCCCACTTCATTGATTCTTGAGGTGACTTGTGGATCTTATTGTAGACGAGTGGTGAGAACAAAAGTCTTGTATACATACACGAAGGATGTCTACTGTAGGTTATTTTTCTCTTGCCCTCTTTTGAGAATAGTTTGCTCCTGAGCTCGATTTGTTTTCTTTGGTTTATGCTAGTGATTAATATGACTTAAAGAACAACATTTAGTTAAATGGATGTTAATGTTTAACAGCTAGTAAATTATGTTAATGCTGGGGAAAACGGCATAGAATTAGATGGCTGGTTTACAGCATTTAGCCTGGAACAAGTTTAGAAAGGATATCCTCACAGTTTTTACCGATTATATTTAAAAAGAGTTGCCTACCTTTAAACTCGTCAGTTTTCTGTCTAAGGATGTGTCGTGAAGAAATACAATATACATACATAACCAGAGATCATTTCCTATGGTTCATTATTATATTTGGCTAACTGAGTGATTTGAAAGAATAATCAATTCTGTTTGAATACTGAGGGTAATTCTCCAATTTGATTTCTTGGTTAAAATAACAGTATTTCAGATCACAGCATAAGATACTAAGTTGTTCAGCTCCCTGTAGCTTTTGAGTCTTAGTAACAAGTAACAAGAGTTTGGCACAGTTAGTATGTAAGGAAAGCTCACTACATAGGAAAAGTCACACCAATAAACTTCACTGGGGATAGGGAAGAACAGTTTGAGCAGGAGGAATTTCCTTGATATTTATCCAAATGGGTGAGATTTCTGCCCTGAATGAAGGGCTTAAACTAATGAGGGCTAGTAGAATGACTCAGTGTTCGCATTCTTACTAAATACTAGGGGTAGGGCAGTCCCTGTATGCAGTGTCAGTCCTTACAACAGTGTTCAGGAAGGAGAGGGTCTATGATTTCTGTTTTACCTTTGGGAAGAAGCCAGTCAGCTGGCCAAGGCCCCATAATTGATAGGTCATGTGTCAGGATTTAGCCCCAGGCAGGCTGGTAGCTTGTCCCCTGTGCTGCAGCTGCTTTGCACACTGTTCTGCACAGTTTCTTGTCAAAGTGAGGTGCCAGTGGGCAAGGTGAGACCTGTGCTAAAGGAGAGAGTGTCAGTGGAATAGCTCCTTGAACTCTAATGGGCCACCTCTTCTAAACCCCATCACCCCGCACCAAAGGAGGAGCAGAGAGGCTACAGAGGGCCATGTTACCTTGTAATCTAATGGGTAAAGTTTACTCTTCTAGTCTATCTTGATTTTATTGGGAACTCATGCTAAGGACCTCAGAACAGAAAGCAGAGACTGGGAAAGATCTTGCTTATTTCCCTTTCTCTCTTTTACATGTCAAGTTTACTGACTAAGATACTAGAAGTGGGGTTTACCTCCCAAGCTATTCATGTTTTGAAAGGTGGGATGGGACAGAAGATAGTGGAGAACTCTTGGAAAGTGTCACCTGGAACATTTTCATCTCCCCAACAGTGAGCTAAAGAGACGCTTGAAAGCTGAGAAGAAAGTAGCAGAGAAGGAAGCCAAGCAGAAGGAGCTCAGTGAGAAGCAGCTAAGTCAGGCTGCGGCTGCTGCCACCAACCACACCTCTGACAATGGAGTGGCTGCCGAGGAGGAGAGCCTGGACCCCAATGTGAGTTCCCTGACCAGCACCCCGACTGCAGACTTCTGATGAGGTTTACCTCACATTCTTTGGGACCCATGACTAATAGGACAGATATGAACTGGAACAGGCTTTGAGTCTTGGTTCACAGCAAAAGGATGAGGAGGGGCCTACCACTTTCTGGTTAAGAACGTGCCCTGAGCTTTTCTTCTAATAAACTCCCAAAAGGCACCTGGAGGGTTCAGTATTTCAAGTGAATGACTGACCTTCCGGAGCCTTATAGCAGGCCCAGAGAAAGTCTCATAGGCCAGAATTTGGCAAGCTGTGGGGCCAAGTGTACCCCTGGCCCCTCCCTCACCCTGTGTGTCAGTATTACAACATAGCCAGGCCCATTTGTATACGGATGTCTAGGGCTTCTTTCCAAATACAACGGAGTTGAGTATCAGTTGCATCAGAAAAACTCTGCTGATCCCTGCTGTAAAATATTCCTTTTCACATCTGCCAGCCACCCCTCACCCCCAGTAGGCTTGCCGTAGGGAAAAGTGTGAAAGAAGATAGGTGAATCATCTTGCAGGTGCCCCCACAAAAGCAATAACCTTACTGTTGTAGGCAGAACTCCATTTCTTATTGAATCATGCATTTTAGAAATTTTGGCCTGCATTTCTA